TACAGCGGAGCTTCTGAAAGCGGGTGGAACACCGGCACTTGAAGTCCTTCAGAAGCTCTTCTGAATTCCGTCCTGGAGGACGGAATTGAACGGAGTAGTGCCACCATGGATGGTGGCACTACTCCGGAGGCGTGGAGCATGAGTGCGGTGGTCTTGTTCTTTAAGAAAGGCGTTCTCTTGAAGAACTACAGACCGATTTCCCTTCTGAGCCGCGTCTACGTGCTGTTTTCGAGAGTCATTACGAATCGTCTCGCACGCAGACTCGAAGTCTTCCAGCCTCCCGAACAAGCTGGTTTCCGAAAAGGCTTCAGTACCATAGACCACATACATACCCTGCGGCAGATTGTACAGAAGACCGAAGAGTACAATCTGCCACTTTGCCTGACGTATGTGGACTATGAGAAAGCCTTTGATTCCGTCGAAATTTGGGCGGTTCTACAGTCCCTTCAGCGGTGCCAAGTTGACTGTCGGTATATCGAAGTGCTGAAGTGTTTGTACAGTAGGGCTACGATGGCTATCCAAGTACAGAACCAGAGTTCGAAACCTATCCAACTGCAGAGAGGTGTAAGACAGGGTGAGGTTATATCCCCGAAACTCTTCACCGCTGCGTTGGAAGACGTTTTCAAGCTACTGGACTGGAAAGGATACGGTATTAACATCAACGGCGAGTACATCACTCACCTTCGATTTGCCGACGATATAGTCCTTATGGCAGAATCGCTGGAGGACCTTAGCACTATGCTCAGTGACCTCAATAGTGTCTCCCAACGCATAGGTCTTAAGATGAACATGGACAAAACAAAGATCATGTTTAATGTCCATGTCATACCTATACCGGTAGTTGTTGGGAGCACTATGCTCGAAGTTGTTGACGAGTACGTTTACCTGGGACAAATAGTCCGGCTAGGTAAGTCCAACTTCGACCGAGAGGTCAATCGACGGATTCAACTCGGCTGGGCAGCGTTCGGGAAATTACGACACATCTTCTCGTCAGGTATACCTCAATCTCTGAAAACTAAAGTGTACAACCAGTGCGTGTTGCCAGTGATGACTTACGAATCTGAGACGTGGTCCTTCACTGCTGGCCTTATGAGGACGCTCAAGGTCGCTCAGCGAGCTATGGAGAGAGCAATGCTCGGAGTTTCTCTGCGTGAAAGACTCAGAAATGAGGATATCCGCAGTAAAACCAGAGTGATCGATATAGCCCAACGGATTAGTAAGCTGAAGTGGCAATGGGGCCGGCCATATAGCTCGAAGAACCGATAACCGATGGGGAAGAAAGGATCTCGAGTGGCAGCCTCGTACCGGTAGGCGTAGTGTAGGGCGACCCCCCACTAGATGGAGTGACGACCTGGTAAGACATGCAGGAAATCGATGGATGCAGGTAGCTCAGGACCGTGCTTTGTGACATTGCTTGGGAGAGGCCTTCGTTCAGCAGTGGACTTGTGAAGGGCTTTAATGATGATGATGATGACTAGATAAGATCTCTAAAGCTACATTTACGTACTGTTGGTGCATTAGGTCCTTCCAGTTCAAGTCATTTATATCAGTGTACAAGCCACAGCTTTACGGAAATTCTATTCTGTGCATAAGTTCTGACATGGTGGAAATGGTATGTTTATTGCAGCACTTGTTGGTAGTGTAAGCACAATCTCTAACGGAGGGTGCTAAGCATCAATAGGTACCAATGGTTTAACTTCAGATGACACAGTACAACTTCCGGAGTCTAGATTAGTTAATATCAGATCCAAGATGCATCCATATTTATTACAAACATTATTACATTACGTTAAGTTGCAAGATTTTAATAAATTATGGAACTGAGTTTGAATTGATTTATTACAAGACTTTAAGTTGAAATCACCAACAATCAAGAATTTATAATATAAGAATATGTGTTAATGACATTTTCTACACAATTTAATGCATCATGATATTGCTTGTCGTTGTAGTTTGGTGGGAAATATGCAACACACACTAAGAGTTTAATATTTTTTAATGTTAAAAGAGTAAATAACAATTCTTTATCATCAGTTAAACCACCTATGTTTGTAATTCTTTTAACGGTAAAACTATTCTTTACTGCTAAGAGAACACCACCCCAATCCGACGTTACCTGCATGATCCTTCCTTAGCCCAATATACTCGGGAGGGAACAGTTCGGAGTCATATACAGAATCGTTAAGAAAAGTTTTAGTAAGGATGATAAGATCACTTGATATAAAAGATATATTATTATGGAAAGCAACAGTTTTTGTGCGTAGACCTCTTAAATTTTGATAGTACAATAGGATTTTTTAGATCGTACTTTATTACTTTGTTTATTCTTTTTTTGCGGGCTGTTATATATGAGAAAAAGCTTAGTACTTTCTACTTGAGGATTGGTCTTTCGAGGTGTGATTATTGGGTAACCATAGTAGTTATAATCAATATTTATATTATCTAGTATATTTTTTTAAATATGTAATAATAATAATGAGTCAAAACATTTATATTAAGACAAGGCTGTATGGTTGTTTTAGGCAACTTCAACAGACCATGTTTGTCATCCCTGTTGGCTGAGAGTCAAGAGAGTTGCAACACAAAATATGCAGCAAACAGAGCCGGAGCAGGAGCCAGAGCCTCAACCCCAAGAACGTCAAAGCCCTCCAAATACCGACCAGCAAGATGACATAGTACATAGGTTGATTAGTTTGCCGCTATCATTTTCGAGCACGGCTTCCGGCAAGTACTTGTAATACGGCAATTTCCGATCCACGAGACCGTATTCCAGAGCGAGCTCCTGGTGAAGAATTCGGGCTACTAGGTTGTGCCTGTGCAAGTACTCAGAGTTAGAAAGCACCGAACAACCGGAGATGACATGCCTAAGTGACTCACCGGGATGGCGACAAGCTCGACAGATGTCGACGGTGCCATCCTTTAAGATGTATCTCCGATAGTTGTTGGTCTTAATAACCCTGATCTTGTATTGCACAGACAAAACCCTCGGTTTCCCCCGAAGAGATCACCAAAGCGTAGCCAGTGGAGGGAGGCTACTGTGTCTACGAAAGGCTCATGTAGAGCCTTGTAGAACCTCCCGTGGAGCTCCTTCTCTTTCCATACGGTCTCCCGGTCGGAAATGCTCTACACTGCCGGATCTTGCCATTGCTCGTTGGCTAAGGATAGAGGGGTAAGTCCTTTATCACAAGAAATGACGTCTATAGAATGGATCATCCGATCTCGCCAGGAAGTAATTACGGAGGCTGCACACTTCGCGATTACGCATGCTGAGAGCGCTCACGAAGCCACGCCCACCATGCTTTCGCGGCAAGTACAGCCTCATTACCGACGATCTCGGATGATGCATCCTATGGGACGTCATGGTAATGCGGACTTTTCTATCCAGGGCGTTAAGTTCAGTCTCAGTCCACCTGAGTATGCCAAAGGTATACATGAGGACAGGCATGACCCAACCGTTATATGCGTGTGTCTTATTCACACCGGACAAAAGGCTGTTAAGCACTTTGGTCAAGCGTGCATAAAACACGTCGCAAACTGACTGTTTCGTACCAGCCTCATCGATACCGATGTTCTGTGACATACCCAGGTATCGGTATGTTTCAGCCTCGGAAAGGGTCCTTAAGTTGACGGGCATAGATAAGTCTATGCCCTCAGAGTTAGCAACCCTTCCCCTTTCAACATGGAGGACCGCACACTTATCCGTCTGCAGCTCCATTTCAATAGAATTGCTAAATTCACAAGTGATGTTTCGCAATTCCATAAGATGGGAGCGACTGGAGGCGAATAACTTGAGGTCATCCATATAGAAAAGGTGAGTCACTTTTGTCCATCCCTTCCGTAGCTGAAATCCGCTCCCAGAGCCATCCAGCAAGATACTGAGAGGGTTCAGAGAGAGGCAAAACCAGATTGGACTCAGACAATCGCCCTGGACGATACCCCTTCTTATCCTTATGTGGTTCTCCGCAGCCATCATCCGTTCACCCAGATAACAAAGGATCATACTCCACTGCCCCATACACTGCCCGAGGACCCTCTTTAGCCATGTATGGGGCACCGAGTCGAATGCCTTTCTGTAATCTATCCAGGCGGCGGAGAATTTCCGACGGTTGCGTTTCACCACTTTGCCAATGACCGCGTCAATGAGGAGTGGTTCCTTGGTTCCACGACATCCATTTTGAGCGCACCTGATTTAGCTCCAGGTGACGAGTGATTCTCGCGCTCAAAATGGATGTCAGCGTCTTATATATTGTGGGTAGACACGTGATGGGGCGGTATTTGCTCGGATCTGTGGTATCCTGATCTTTGGGAACCAAGTGAGCGATCCCAGTAGTGGAGAGACTCGGGAGCGACTTCTGATCGAGAGCCTCTTGAAACTGTCGGGCGAGCACAGCGTGACACACTACGAACCCCGTCAGCCAGTAATGATGCAGCTCGTCGAGCCCCGAACTTTTCCAGTTCGGAGACCTACGGACCGCCTCAGCCACGTCTTCCGGCGTTGTGGTGACGGGGTCCATAGGCGTAACACTCGCATTCTGGCTCGCCACAACTTCCATCCAAGGGCCCTCGCTGTGGTTTCGGGCTCTGACCATAGGCCACGCCGAAATGCGACAGTGTCGGCCTGATCCGGACCTGGGCCCGCTCCACATACCTCTGGTCGCTCCAATGATTTATAGAGCCTCTTCTGATCACTCTGAAAAAGACGATTCTGGTTGAACCGCCTTGACCTCTTGCTAAATCATCCAATCCGCTTCCCTCAAGCAGCGATTTTTTGCTTCAGGTCATCTATGCGCTCCGTTAGTTTCTGCGTGATAGCCGGCTGGGACAAACTAATATTTGTCCCAGCAAACGCCATTCTAACGGTGCGCATAATCCTCGGTCTATTATTACCCGACCTGAAGCTTGTCAGTCTGCCGATAAGGGCCCTTGCCTTTGCGATACGGTCCTCGATTCTTTTTCTACAGGCTGGGATGGCGCTACTTTGTCGAGTAGCACGTCCAGCCATGGGAAGTTTGGAGCCAATAATACGGCATACTGCCAGTGCGGCGCCAAAAGAATTGAGTCCGTCTCGCAAAGGTCCCGGCTGGCTTCCAAATAGGTCACTAGCATTGGGTTAAGAGCCCGCACTACCGCCCGGTTTCGCTTGCTAAGGGGGAATATATATGATTTTTCTTTGTTTCGCGTTTTTTAATAAAATTATATTTAGCGACATTTGGAGACTTTTTTTGTTAGTAAATTCATTGATAACTAGGGACTTTTCGGTGGCAGTCTAGAGACCTACGCTAATTCAATGTGGCAACATTGCTGAGCAAGGTGTTTTATTATAGTTTAAGTGATTTTCGGTTGTTGTTACAATAAGTTTACTTGAGTTGGGATTAGCCCTCTGTTTCTTGTTTTCTGTTTAGATTTTCATGCTGGAACCATATTGTATGTTTGTGTAGTGTAACCCGGTGGACATATTTAATTTGGTTTGGCGTTGTATTTTGCCGAATAGACGCTTTTACATCGTGTATGTTAAATATATATAACAAAAATAAATGTTAATATTACTGACATCTACAGTACGTCTTTAACTGAACCCTAATAACATACATAATAACTACATACAGCTATCTATAGTCAACATGATATTGAGATTAGTTCGAGGGATATGATACTAGACGGCGAAACTATTCATTTTGGGTGACAAAAAATCCTAGGAGATGGCTCTCTATTTCTGTATATATTACTCTACTCTATGGGACACAATAAGTGAGGCGCTGCAATCGCTAAGTTCGGTCAATAAAAGTAAGTCATTTTCAGTCATAGATAAATAAATATGTAGCAAGTTTTCAGTCCATTTTTCCAATCAGATGCTAAACCGCTTGCACATCGACGCACAATAAAATGTTTCTCCATTTTTTAATGTTTCTTTTTGTCAAAAATTACAAAATTAATGAGCATGAAAATTTTCTCATTATGAAGGTTAGAGAACAGAAGAACGATCACTACGTACTAAAGTATAACCCGCCTGTCCTTGAAAATTGTAGTATTTATAGCGGAGCTGACGTCGGCGAGTAGTGACTGCGAAGTTAGCTCTTTATGAGTACAAGTAGATGAAGTTAGTTGAATAATGTACAAATTTTCTCCTGGGTTCCTGGGTGGGTGCTGCCCTCTGTTTGGGATTCCTTAATTATTAAAATGAAATCCAAACCCAGGTTTACTTTTACAAGAATTTAAAATACTATAAGATTGTTCTGCGTTGACCAGACCAGAATGTTGAGAGTAGCCTTCCTTTATAACAGTACGTTTGCACAATACAATGACATGAGAACGTCAAACATCCAGTCCACCCGTCGCTCGCCTACCGGTAAACACCAATTAAGGAACTTGGGTGTGTATATTTAGTCCGAAACGTCAGTAGTTGGAAAAATAAAATTAAACGTTATAAAAACCGTAAAATTGGTTTTATTCAATGATTACTTTATTATATGTATACAAAATTACCACGTACTTGGTGGTAAAGGAAAAAGTTTTAAGAAAACCTGCATTTATCAGAAATTAAATATACGTTTTTCGAAAACAGAAAATAACTTACTTTTGTGAACTACGTATGTTCGAATGAGAAGATGCCTGTGCGCAGCTGCTAATTATTGTTTTAAAGCGTTGGTCTTTACATTACACGTAAATTAACTAAAACACATTGTTATTAATTAATTAACGTGTAATGCATGTGTTATTGAATAAAAAAAATAATTATCAAAATCGGACTAGTATGTATTAAATCAGGCCTATTTTCCCACCCTTACAGTAAAAATGTTTTTCAAATTTATATGGTACCAATTTCGAGGTATACTCTATCCAATAAAAAAGCATTATCAAAATGGGACTACTCTGTAAAAGCTTATGCGTTGTCATACATTAAAAAAAAATATGCGTCGGCTTGAGTACCTCCGTTTTTTCGTCGGTATAAAAAAGTTTAAAAACTAATATGAAGTGAAAATTACCGTTTTGTAGTTCCCTAAATTGTTAAAAAGTAATTACAAAACCACAAAAGATAATTGAATGAAGTGTAAGTAGAACCTACAAACTAATAAGAGTACTAACGTAGAACCTAAGATGTTATATATACCTAGTGAGTGTTTTAAGCACTTGTGGATAATAGGAGATCGCAACGTAACAAAACTGTGAAAGCCTGGTTTGGTAGATGCACGGTACATGTATTGTATAATATTATGAAATATTTAAAAAAATCTAATTAATTTCAGTTCATCTCGCTTTATTTATTTTTTTAGCCTGGTATTATTTAATTTTAAACAATGTTGTCTGTAATGTATTTTCTTCCATTTTGATATGTATTTGCAAGGTTTGAATTGCCAATCATTTATTATTTTAATTAAGTAAAATCGATTTGCATAAGAATATATATATATAATGAAATAAGTGCTTCGATCGTGATATGAATCTCATTATAAGTTGTCTGTGCCGCTTAGGCACCTTGAGATATTATCGTCAACATCCTGCTGGCTTGAGCTAAATCTTCCAAAAACTACGCAATGTGACCCATCAACATATTATGAAACAGTGTACTATAAAAGAACATTTACGTTAGTACTCTTATTAGTTTGTGTTATCAATTGATACTGAGATAAATGAAGACATGGCTTAAAGAACAAGAATCCAAACCAAAAGTATCAATACCAACTATATATATATATATTAATCTATGGTTAACATATAAGTATATAATAAGTCAAGGACGTTATAAAATTACATTTTTAATATAACGTCCTTGGCATAAGTTAAACGTATTATTATAAATAAAGAAAGTACTGTGGCGTGTGGATTATAGTATTCATTAGTGAATTTAGAGCATACACATAGGGTATGTGTCAATGAATTTCAATAATCCATTTTATTTCTATGATTTTGACGACATAGCATCTGCACTATAACTCGTGGAATCATTCCTAAAAATAATTTCGAGATTGTATGGCATCACGTTTTGAGCATCATACTGCTGTACATTACTAGTCTGTTTAGCTGTGTTTATTGTTTTCCAGGGCTTAAAATGGAAAAGAGCGATAATCCACCGCCACATGGTTGCGGAAATATGGACACTGTGCAGTCGCTTTCGGCTGTTCCACCAAGTTATTCCCAAGCAGAAGGCGGCGTTGGACCATCAAGTCCTTGTTCACCACAATACTCGCCTTGTAAGTATAACTGTCTCCCTTATTCACGTGTTTAAGTATAAAATCATACATTTGCGCCATATTGGAAAAGTGTTGGCGATTATTTTGTAATTTTGTGCTCCAAAAATTAATATATCCTGTTTCAATTAATTTGTGAATAATGGATATAGTAGCAATAATTCTATATTTAATAAATAAAAACAAATTCTCACATATTTCATTTAGCGTACAAACAATTAAAAATTGTTTTTAATATGGAGGGTAGACATGGGTCGTAACGTCTTTTGTACGTAATCGAGTGTACGTATTTTCGTGGATATGAGTAACTAGTTTCAAAACTGCTTATTTATATAACTAGTTATTTCTGTATACAGTATAGCGTTGGTTAGTTTAAAAAGTTTAAAGATAGAAAGTAGAAACATGGTCAACTGGTCAAGGTTTTTCAATTTCGTAAAAAAAACCTTATCGTGATGAACTTTAACTCTTTTCAATTGCATATAAATTCGCATGGGCATTTGCATTTTTATATATACAATAACGCACCGATTACTATATTGCCGTCAATTTTTATCTTGCGTGTAAGCCATACCTATCCCGTATTACGTACCTATAACCATCTTAATAATTAGAGAACAATCAAGTGTATTTTTGATTAGAACAAACGTATTTTATCAAAGAACAAACATTAATGAATATAAAAAGATCAATAATAACGAAAGAAATTATAAATTGGAGTGGGGGGGGGAAACAATTCTTGATAGAGAACAATCAAGAAGAAATCAATATATATAGAACTAACGATATGTGAAAACGAAATTTGAAAAATAAAAATATAAAATTCTTGGGGGGCTAACTTCATTGAGCCACGATCGACTTCTTACCTAGCCGTATATATGCCATCTAGCGTCATCTTTACGTACCACCTTGAGACCCAATTAATTTTTGTTCGATAAAATGACTTTACCCATAGAAGTAGAATGCGGTTTACAAACCAACTTTATTCCAAAAAAATATTTTAAAAACAACAATACAAACATGTATTTTTTTGATTTATCTCATTAAAATTTAGGTTTCACATTTCAAAAGATAAGTATTGTAACAATTATTTGCTATACTTAAAGTTAAACATATGCAATACTTTTGTTTGAATATTATCATAATAATAAATCGTTTGCCGTTAAATTTATTGAAGTGTTCAAAATGCTATGGACTCAATTCATTAGTGGTTGATGTTAATTTTATGTACTTTGTTGTTACGATATTGACCCAATTATTGTTTTATAGTAATTTAAACGAAGCGCATCGGTTTAATACTGGTTATTTTACATTATTATCAAAATATTTCAAGGGATTTATTTAAAAAGTTTGAAAAATAAATACTAAAGTAAATTAAGATTTAGTTAAATTGTGTTTTTAACATTTAGTATAGTGTACAAAAATAAGATTTTAATTTTCCGCCATGTCTAAATACCCCTTGAACGAATTAACCACTGGACCCGACATAAAACACAAATGTATGAACACTCGTTCAACCAAGTGGAGAATAACGCGCACGGAGATCTTATTACATTAATGTAAACACAGATACGAAATTCGTAGAAGTTTACTCTATTTCTAGTGCTTGATCGTAGTCGATAAAATATATCGATGAACGATTGAGAAAGAAAAGGCGTATCGTAAATAAACTGTAAAACAAAGGAAATAAAGGGATAATGAAGGTAAGGTAAGCTTCCGGTATTTAAATTTTAATTAAAATAAAAGAAGCAGGACATTTTTATAAACTTTATACAATTATAGTTATGATAAACGTCAAATGTTTTGTTAAGTCTTTTATTCTGAACACCCTTCCTAAGTTCGAGTTCACAGTGCTAACAAATAGCTATGGTATCACTTGAAGGAAGTATCAGTTTTCCTTGTCTTTATGGGCAATGAGACTGCCTTCATTGGTGTCATTTTCTGTTTCTTTGCATTAGTATTAAAACAGGCAGTATCGAAATATACACTGCATATTATGGCGCTGTGTTTCGTCGGGATCCAGGTTTCATCTTTACGAACTACTTCTACCCACTCTCTCTCCGAGAAGGTCACTGGGAAATCTGAAAATTCGTGTAATTTATGTGTTTAAATATTTTAACTACAGATAATAAGTATAATTTTTGCATTTATATTTTTATTTAATTATAAAAATTATTATTATAAATTTAATGACATCAGATTGTAGGATACTGTTATATGTATAAGTATTTTTAAGTGTTATTGTATTGTACAAATAACATCATCATTCATTCGGTCATATCGTCAAATATTGATATATTTTTCGACATGGTCAAGCAATAGTCGATGTCAAATTGACTCACTCCACAATTTTAGTCACTGTTCTGAATGGTGTAATCCAAACAAAAACAAACGACCAAGCCTAAAATTGCTTGGTTACCGACAAGACCGATATATGTAGGTACGTCCGCTCATATGTCGGGTCCAATGGTTAATTCGTTCAAGAAATACCCATATCGCTCGCGCTTTGTCACATACGGCGAATCTAGCGACCGACCGATGCGAAGTGATATAGGCATCGCGGCGGTACGCAAATATCAGATTTTTTAATACATAGTTTTGGAACGAACCAGTAAGCGGTTTTTAGATATTGTACCAATATATGGATTTCGTATCAGTATACGGTTTGTATCGCCCACCTTTAGTATGTAGTGTTAAGTAATGTTTGTAAACATTTTAAATTTTATTGCCATAGTTAAAGTGGTCTGTACAGAATATTACTTTTAGCAGACAAACCTAACCAAATGAAAAACATTGTGGTCGGGTTCGACGCCCTCCGGTAAAAATGAAATTGGTTATTGAAATTTTAAGTGCTGATTTACATATAACGTACTCTGCTGCAAAGAAAACGTCTGAGGAAACACGCATATCCATTGCTGTGGATGCATGGTTGCATGGATTGCATGCTTGCTTTCGTCCCTAAGAGAGTTTAGAGCAAGGAAAAGTATTTAGTCTGAGACTCCAATGTATTTCGGGTTTGAGGACATTCAAAGATTTTTTGTATGCGTGCAGCTATATTACGTTTGTTGTACGAATTAGTCAGCTCAACCGGGGCAAGACCACTGTGTCACAGAATTCCTGCGTAAAATATTATTTTAATGCTACTGTTTTTCTAGTGTAAAGAACAGGGGAACAATTTTATTGGAAATGTGACATGATTACATCTTAGCCCTCAGGAGTTTTTATCACCTATTTGCATTACGATTCTTAATCGCAGGCAGTTGTAAATATAACAAAATAATTTTCAGATGCTTCACCTATTTTACAAAGAAAAAGACCTATGAAAACAGACAACGGTTCAAAAGAAACGAAACGGTTTAAATTCGGTGCTCACATTAACTCTTCTAAATTAAGTTCAAATAACGAAGGATCTGATCATAATCTTGACGGAGTAATCGGAGAAAGCACTAATTTAGCTAACGAATGTGATATACCATCAAACTCTAATTTGGAGGTAAAGTTATTTATAACAATTTATATTTATTTAAAGAAATTTAGAGTGCGTATGAAGTCCACAAACAACTAGAGTGTTTTTTGGCTGTCCAAGACTTAATAAGAGAGAATTATTCTTACAAATGGCTTTATATCATTCCTAGTTGGAGAATGCATCTGGGTAGATACTACACTAACACCACTCTCTTACTTATATCTGCCGTCAAATAGCATTGCGTGCCTCTTTTGGTTTTGGAAAGGAAAAAAGCATGAATATTTACAGACAAGCATTTTCTTAGTCCTCAAAGGTAACAACACATCTGTAGCCTTCTTTCTTTGAAGACGGTTGTTGGTAACTATGGATTACAGTAGCCACTTACCCTGTGTAGACTTTCGTTTGTCATCTCAATTTTATAAGATAGAGGGTTTTAAACACTGTTATCGTAACGGGGATTTAAAATTACAGGAACAAGAAACAAGGAAAGACAAAGCAGTTCAAACATGTAACTGCTTACTTCGGGATAGAGGATTTGACCAAAATCTTCCGTTTGGTGTGATCTTAATTTATAACGATTTTAATTCAAGAACCCCGAGTAAAATATTGTTCTCTTCGTTGAACGCAATAGTAAAAAAAATTTAAAAAATTGATTGAATTTTAAACCTATATTCAGCAGTGAAATTGTAAAGGACTGTAATAAGAATTATGATAATTTAAGAAGATTTTATGTTAAGTTAAATAAAAACTAAAATAATTGCAAGCGTATTTATTTATCAATGGAATTTCTGGAGCAGTTGAACTTTCAGGCGAATCAATTGCATATTTTCCTTCTGTTTCAACATCGTGAGCTGTAAATATACACATATGATAGAATTTACAATATTTTCTTTATGATTGAATTTTTAACAAAATGCATTTTTTTAAATCACTTCAACAATGTGTGGTATAGAAAAAGTAGACTGTTTTAATCGAGCACCACCACACTACTTATTTGGATACGTGGCATTTAAATACGTTATACGCTACAATACAAATTTAAATACGGACCTTTACGGCATAATGTGCAGGACAACTATCATTTTGTAACCAGTGGAACTGTCTCATCTCCTCAGACACCTCTTTCATTAAATTTGGCAGATCATTTTGTAGAAAATTCAAATAACTTTGTCGAGATAAGTTTCCGGGTAGTTCAAATGGACCAATGATTTTCCGTTTTTTTTTACCAGTCAAAATATCTGTGATTTTTCTTTTCGCATTAGATGCGGATGTGAGTAGAATGTAGTAGTTAAAGTATGCGTCTTTTTTAAGAGTGGATTCATCGCTCCACAGAATTTTGTCAAAGTATTGTGGATCTTGTTCTATTTCTGTAAGCATTTGTCGACAAAAAATAATTTGTGCCTTGTAATCTCTCAGTTGTAAAGCTTGGACGCGTCTAATGTGGTAGGGATAAAAAAAATCAGTTCACCGTGCACGGTTGTCTTCGAGATTCCAGTGCGTCGTTCTATTAACACTAGTAGTGGTGGACGGGTCTAGCTAGTCTTCCAGTGCTCATACCACCAACGCCGCTGCCAGGTATTCTACCTTTCGAACTTTTAACGGTGGTAGAGCCACGCTGCAGCTTATATTATAGTCGTAGCACGAATGGGTCGGCTCAACTAGGGCAGGACCACGTTCTCACGGAATACGAGCGTAAAATAGCAGCGTGGCACATTCCGAAAATCCGACTCTGACTTTGCGGTTCTAATGTATCAGTTAACAGGTTTTCATTGGCCATATCATAATAATATGTTGATTCGTATCTGGAATCTAAGGAATAGTCATCACTATAATTAGAATCTACGCCTAGGTAATTATTACAACAACCGTAAGCATTATAATCGGTGACATAGCCTGCACATTAATTAATATGCATTTTGCGAGTCTTAAAGTAGTTACTAGGCGGTGGGCTTTCATGTTAACTCCAGTAGTGACCCATTACCATTCTAGTATGTGGCACAATTTTCTGCGTAAATCTTTGAACTCCGCTCATAAGCTGGGGCGGATGATTCCGTGAGGGTAACTTAAAGACGTTACTATAGTTAGGTGGAGGTGCAACAAACATTTTTTAAGTATTTGTTGGGCCATGGTGTTGATATCGAAAACTTTCATTGAATCTAAAAGATTGAAGTGCAGGTCCCACAGATGCTGACCAACAGGAACTAGCCGATTAGGCACAGGAGCCCGTAAAGTTTGCGATCGCGGTGGTAAAAATGGTGTTGGTAGTAATTTAGTTGATGTATAATTAGAATTATGAATTTGCTAATTGAAAATGATGTAATGGGTTTTTCAACAAGAACTTTGTTTTCTAAAACAAAATAAAACAAAGAGTTTAGATGAAGATGATTCAAATTTTTATTGTATTACGAAGAGAAAAGTTTGGCAATTATGAATGAAAAATGATATCTGGTAAATGTCCACCACGACCACGCTGACAGATGTCGATTCTTTCATCAAAGTTTTTAATCACTTTTTAGCAAAATGGCGGTTCTATTTCGTTAATCACGTCACGGATTTTGAGTTTTAAGGTCGCGATCGATTCGATTGGCTCCGTATAGACTCTGTCCTTAACATAACCCCACAAAAAATAATCCAGTGGTGTTACACCACACGATCTGGCTGGCCATTTAACAGCTGAATTTCGTGAAATTATGCGATCGGGAAATTTGGTTTGCAATAAATTGATCCTTTCGTTGGCTGTGTGACATGTGGCACCGTCCTGTTGAAACCACATGTTTGTGATATCGATAATAGGCCAAAATTGAGATGTTAACATCTCGCGATAGCGTGATCCATTGACCGTTACCGCATTTCCAGCCTCATCTTCGAAAAAAAAACGGCCCAATCACGCCTCCAGACCACATAGCGCACCATACAGTGACACATTGAGCATGCAAAGGCTTCTCAATAATCGCTTTAGGATTTTCAGAAGCCCAAATGCGGCAATTTTTCTTGTTGACGTACCCTGACAAGTGAAAATGGGCTTCGTCGGAAAAAATGATTTTTTCAGAAAAACCAGCGGGCTGTTCCTGAATAAATTGAGAGAATCTACGGCGATGTGAATGTTCGGTCAGCTTCAATTCCTGCACCAGTTGAACCTTGTAAGGTTTCAAAGCCAAATCCTTACGCAAAATTCGCCATGTGGTGGTTTTGGATAACCCCAATTGTTGAAAACGTCGAGGAATTGAGAAATTTGGATCTTCTTCAACACTGTGGCTCACGGCTGCGATGTTTTCGGTTGAACGACCCGGTCGAACACGCGTTGGTGTTGGCACATTTTGTACCGAGCCTGTTTGTTCAAATTTAGCGACAAATTTCTTAATAGTGGTCTCAGAAGGACGATTATGTGTCCGAAAATATCACGAATTTTACGAAACGTAACTTTAACAGAACCACCATTTTCATGGTGAATTTTAATTATTTTAATGCGATTTTCGAGCGAAATTGAATTCTTTTTCACATTCAGCAATTGCCAAAGCATCTACTACGAATAGGTCAAAAAACTAAATGTCAAAACTGTCATGTTGTTGGTGTTGACCCAATAGAAAAACAAAGTTCTTGTTGATAAACCCTTTACTATATTGCGTAAATTAAGTTACGTTGAAAGACGTGCTGCTATTTGCTCATCAGGCGGTACTATATAATGGTAGGCATAATATGTAACTAGTCCAAGCGGCCTGTATTGATAAACCAATCCGAAACAAAATAATGTTACTATGGTAACTATGGACCGTTATTATTGTTACTTTTAAGATAAAAAATAGTACTAATATCATTAAGAATTACTTACATATCAAAGATAACATCTTTTTGTAAATTTGACGATCTCTTATTAAAAAAAACTGAACAATTTGGCACTTTTGTAGGACGTCGATTCAGTCGCGCTGCTAAATTAATTTAGTCTAGTGAGCAGTGCAGTTGCATCTAGTTTTATTGTGCTCATAGGACAGCGTAGACCTATTCTTTGTTACACGGGAACGCCTGCATATGGCTACTCCCGTCCGATACGTCGGCGGCGGTCCGTATAGCTTTATGCTCCGTGCTAGCGTCAGTATGACTCCCCTTCCCCTTCCTAGATATTTTGTGGTTACACAGGGCTTTCAATAAATAGTTAAAATACAGTAGGTACGTATATAGAACCTTTTGATTATTTATTTTATTTACCATTTTTTTAATTGTTATAATTTTGTTTATTCACCATCCGAGAATAAATTTAAATTCGTCAAATGAGTAGAAAAATATTGCCAGCGTCTCTCTTTACCTCTGTTTGGAATTTAGGTATCTTTAAAGCAAAAGTGAACTAGATTTTGTTTCGCTAAAACAGTGCGATTTAAATTAAATTAAGAAACAAGACACATATTTTTTCTTCTGGGAATGATATGACAAAAAAAACTTGAAGTTTCGAGTATAGCTCTCTCCACTGACTGATACTTTTGCGTCAAGTGACCCGTACCGTATTAAAAACAGAATAGTAGACTATCTTCTAAGAAATGTATCGAAATGTACCTGGCACGTAGTAGTACGGACTCGTACGCATAAGCCACAGCACGCACACAATGACACTTGCTAAGTCAAAAACGTTGACAGAGAAACCTATAGACTAATGATTAGCGTGGCCTCGAGTGAAAAAGGATGATAACGTATTTTTAGGTTATGCAATAATCTTTATGACTTTTAAACCATATTAAAAAAATTATCGTTCCAAGAACTGAACTGAACAAGATTCACCAATCTTAAGCTCACAAAATACTTTTTTCTCACTTAAACCAACTTTTAAACTCCTTAGATCGCTACGAACTGTCAAAGTTGTTTAGCAAATTGTAGTTTGCTATGTTTAACAAAAAACCGGCATGGAGAAAAGGACAAACAATCGCACCGCTCTGTCTCATTTCTATGCAAGACGTATGCATAAATCTATTTTTTCCATGTGCGAATGCGAAAGTAGGCGTCAATTTGTCTATAGGTTTCTCTGTCTACGGTCAAAAAGGTTTGTTTAAGACTTTGTTGACTTTTAATAAAATGTTGCTAGCAATGTTTTTTCGTTTGCATGTTTCTTTTTGTAAATTAAATCAATATGTGGGTTTGTTTAAGTAAATTAGCTTTTTATTAATTGGTTATATTACTATATCTATACATAAATATATACCTCATAAGTGCATTAATTATCATATCACGTCACATCAAATTAGTTTTAAAAATTAAAATATGCACCTTTTATATAAAAGATGCACCTTGGTAAAGCGTGTGGTCATGACCACATTTCGGTAGAACATTTACGTTGCGGTAGACCCTGGGTTGTGATGTTTCTCTCGGTTTTTATTAACGCGTGTTTAAAACTCTCATTTTGGCCTCCTGACCTAATAAAATGCGTGGTTAGCCCTATTGTCAAAAGTAAAACCGTTACCGATACGATCAGTTCCAATTATAGGCCTATCTCAATCGCTACAACCTGTGCGAAACTATTTGAGTCTATTATTCTGGATATTTTATCGAAATTTATTTTTAAAAGTGACGCTCAGTTTGGTTTTAAAAAGGTAGCTCTACTGAGTTGGCAATTTTTTCCTTAAAACAAATAGCAACGTATTACGTGTTACGAAGAACAAAAGTATACGCTTGTTTTTTGGACTTGAGTCGCGCCTTCGATAGGGTAAACTACAGCATCCTGTGGAATAAGTTAAAACTTGTAGGTCTTCCTTCCGACATAATTAGAATCCTTATTAATTGGTATAATACGCAGGTTAATGTTATGAACTGGGATGGCTCGCTTTCGGACGAGTTTATACTGACTAATGGGGTTAGGCAGGGTGGGCTGACTTCTCCTCTGCTGTTTAACCTTTACGTTAACGCTCTAATTGAGGAGCTCAATGAAACGCGTATCGGCTGTCATGTAGGTGGGAAATGTGTAAACAACCTTAGTTACGCAGACGATATGGTTTTATTGAGCCCCTCAATCGGAGCCAAGGAAAAGTAAAGTAAAGTAAAGTTACAGCCTATATACGTCCCACTGCTGGGCACAGGCCTCCCCTCATTTCTGAGAGGGTTTTAGGACAAGGAAGTGGCCGCCGCGCTGCCCCAATGCGTGTTGGCGAACTTCACATGTCTTCGAATCTTTTTTTCGTATTCCTCAGACATGTAGGTTTCCTCACGATGTTTTCCTTCACCGCTGAGCACGTGGTAAATCAGCACTTAAAATTGCAATTAACGATTTCATTGGTGCCGGCGGGGATCGAACCCGGGTTACTCGCGTTCTTTTTTTATATATACAGCGGGCGTTAACCATCTGAGCTAACACGGAAGTTAATTTCTATTTGTGAGAGATACCCAGCAAGACACGATTTAGTTTATAATGCAGACAAATCTGTGGCAATGGTCTTTGGAGCGCATAGTAAAGATGTTTGTTTGTTTGAACGGCAAAAATTTGAAGTTTGTGACGAGCTTTCGATATTTAGGACACACCGTATCGAGTGACCTGAGGGATGATCAGGACATGGACAAAGAAAGGCGGTCCCTTGCTGTACGTGCATATATGATTGGCAGGAAATTTAATAAATGCGAGCGAGATGCTAAAATATTATTATTTAAAACCTATTGCCAATCACTTTACACACCGCATCTCTGAACTAAATTTAAGATGGAAAACTATCGAATTTTTAAGGTTCAGTATAACGATTCGTTCCGAATATTATTTCGTTTTCCGAGGTACTGTAGTGCATCTACAATGTTCGCTCAGGCACGCGTACCGACGCTCGATGCTTTGATAAGACATCGTGTGGCCAGATTTAGATTTAGATCTTCTCAAATCTGGAAACATGATTATACTAATTTTAACGCAAAATTGTAGTGAAATATTTAAATATTGGTCTAGTATGTTAAGATGTAAGTTTTAATTTGTTTGATGGAATTTATTTAATTTATATTTATTTTTGTATTTCATTATTATTTCATTTTATTTAAATTATTTTTATTTATATTTTCTACGTTTTCTCAGTTTGTTTTTAACAAAACTGGATTAATGGTTATTACCACGGGACAAAGCCAAGTGGATACCATGAACTTGTTTGGTTATGGGTAGTTTTCTGTAGAGATAAATTTTCTAACTATTCTACAAGTATTAAGTAAAACTGCTTTTTGCAATTGAATATATGTTAGTTTTGGTAAATCTAAAGTTTTTAATGATTGATGAAGCACTTTTGGTATTACACCAGTTGTAGAGAGGACTATAGGGACTATAATGGCGTTATGCAAATTCCACATTCTAATAATTTCATGTTTTAATTCAGTGTACTTGGAATTTTTTTCATTATTGTCTGTAAGTTATGTGAGTTAGGTATAGCAATGTCAATAATAAGAGCACATTTATTCGCTTTATCTATTAATGTTATATCCGGTCTATTAAAGTGTATTGTTTTGTCAGTAAGTATAGCTCTGTTTTTGTGAGTGGTATTTTCAAGGACTATTTCTGGTTTATATTTATAGTATACTTGAGTTGGTTGGTCAGTTAATTTATACTTAAAGGCAAGTTTTTGGTGAATGATATTGGCTACTTGATCATGCCGATACTTATAGTCCGTCTGAACAATCACTTTACAACAGCGTCTACATGTGTCGGTATGTAATTTTTTTTATTTTAATAATATGCTTTTGATAATTGCGTATCTCTATGATTTGGTCCTGAATTGCGCACATTAAAACCCTGTCTCAGGGAAAAGCTCACCACGTTGAAGCCATGCGTTGGACGCTAATTTGTCTACGGTAGGTTGGTTCAAATCATGGTGATGTCTTCCACGTAGAGACTTTTGGGTCCATATGTCAATTTTTGTGTTGTTATCTGTAAGTAACTCATTTTTTTGCAATGTTTTATCATGCATATTAAGCGGTGTCAATTTATGATCATTCTGTACTATGGCATTGTGTAGTGATGATATTGCTGTTTTATCATAAAATTAATTTCTGAGTGTAGTTATTTGTCTGTTATGTAAGTTAACTATGTCTATTACCCCTCTTCCTCCTTCATTTCGTGGCAATGTTAATATTTGTATGCATGATCTTGGATGGTGTTTACGGAGCCTCGTAAGAGATGTATTTATTTCGCGTTGTAGCATTTTTAGTTCAGTTTTGGACCAGTGTATTATGCCAAAGGAATAAGTTAGTATGGAAATTGCAAATGTGTTAATAGCTTTGAATATATTTTTAGAATTTAATTGAGATGTTAATTCTAAGCGAAGTCAATATCGAAACTGATCGGTTAATGTATTTTTAATTTCTTTGTGATGTATTTGTTTAGACTGATTATATCCTAAATACTTATATACTCCATTTTCCTCTAAAGATTTGATTTGCTGTCCTGTTTGCAACTGATAGTTATGTTCATAATACTGTCCAACTCTTACTGAATTAATGTTGCACTTATCAATACCAAATTCCATTCCAATATCTAATGAAAATTTTTCCGTTAATATAACTAATTGATCTAATTCATCTTGAGTAGTAGCATATAGCTTTAGATCGTCCATATACAAAAGATAGATGATCTTGTGTTGTATGGTATTGTAAAGAGTACCCTATGTTTTTTGAGTTTAACATTTGTGATAAGGGGTTTATTGCAAGGCAGAACCAGAGAGGACTAAGTGCATCCCCTTGAAAAATACCTCTTCTTATTGCAATAATATCTGTTTCTATCATTCCATCTAGTGAGTTAATTTTAAGTTTCGTTGTCCAATTGGTCATCGCAGCCTGTAAAAATTGTATTATGTTTGGGTGTATTTTGTATATTTCTAAAATTTTTAATAACCAAGTGTGCGGTATTGAGTCATGAGCTTTCTTATAATCAATATACATACTAAATAAATCTTTTCTTTTGCTTGTACCTCCTTTAATACTACTGCATCTATTGTGAGCTGTTCTTTGCAACCCTGACTAAATTTCCTACAACCTTTTTGTTCTTCTGACAACACGTTATTAGCTTCTATGTTCATAAATGGTTTCGGTTAAGCAAGATGTAATTATTTTGTACAATGTTTGTAACATGTGATAGGTCTATATTTTGCAGGATTGTCAAGATTACTAGGCTCTTTTGGTATCATATACGTTATTCCTGAATTAATGTATTGCGGCAAAGTATGCGGGCTTTGTATGAATTTATTAACAAAATTAAACAGAATCGGGTGGATAGTTGTAAACTTTTTATACCAATAGTTATGTATATTACCTGATCCAGGTGTTTTCCAATTATGCAGTTTTTTTATTACTTTATGGAAAGTGTCTATCTTGATGTGTTGAAATTGCATGGCTTTAATCTGTGATGTGTCTATTTGATTTTTGATCCAATCCGCTTCTGTATTATAATGTTTAAGTTCCTCCCATATTGTAGACCAGAACTTTGCAATTCTCTCGGTGATGGTACGATATTATTTTCGGAGCTTTTCAAACTGCTGATTTTATTTTTAAAAGGATTTTTTATATTACGGTAGAAAAGTTTTTCATTTGAGCAAAATAGAATGTTTTGAGTTTTTCGTAGAGAGCTTGCAATTTCTTTTTAACCGACTACTACTAAGTTTTAGTTTTTGTTTAAGTGTGTCTAAAAATGTTCGTGTTTGGTGTTATGTTCTTCGTGGACAGAATGAATTTTATGTTGTTCGAGTATAGAATTTACGTGTTTCATTAATTTTTGACCTCGGTTTCCATTAATATATTGTGTTAGCCTTGCAATTTTTGCTTGCAAGATTTACTATTTCTTGGGGCAAAAGTTTGTTATTCATTATTGCTCTTCGGTGATCTCCTATTCTTTGACGAGTAACTTGCATATCTAGGAATCGTTCTATAAATTTCATGTGTAATGGTTGTAAATAATCTTTAGTCCATCATTGTTAAATAGAGGTAAGTACGCAATATAAATTCATTCATTTCAGAAGTCCATTTTTTACGCGTGTTACAGTTACTGATGGTGGGCACAGTTTCTATAACAGGAGTTATTTTCTGTGCATCATCCTTCAGCAATTTGCTATTTGATGATAATGAAGAAGATAAAGACTGGTGTGAAATGTTTGATATTGATTTTTGTCTATCGTTTCCGGGGGTATATAAACTATCACTATCACTAAGGGTATCGGTGTCCGTGGATCTCGCTTGAGTTGTTTGACGGGAAATCTTCCTCGCCCGGAGATTGTATGCGCCCCAAGATACAGTACCATCTCGGCTTCCGCCAGAGTCGACATGGTTATTGAATCTGCCGGGCACTGGGGACCGTAGTTTACGCCGTGCACTCATTTTTTTAAACCTGGTTTGGGATCGTTAGTTGGGAAAGGGTCATTAAATATTAATAGGCATGGAGATTATCCTGCCTTGTTATTATTACAGAGTATAGTTGTTCAGACTGCAGTTGAGTACATGCCTTTCCCTTAAACCCCCACCACGACAAGGTGATCCCGTAGGGGGTTATTATTATTATTAAATCTGAGCTGACACAATATGCTCAGTGTTAATTTTTTTCATATTTTAGTTATTTGGTATTTATTATAAAGTAAAACTGGATTTTTTACAAACATTGATTCTTTAAGAGGAAACTAAAGAAATGATTAATAAATATAGGTGCATACCGGTATGTATCCGTGTATATTATGTTTGTAAATATTACAACTGCTTATAAAACTAAATGAGACTTATCTGTTAAACAAAAAGACAGTGACAGCCCTGAAGCAGTAGGCATTTAAGTCTTGCACGGCGCGGGAGTATCCTACTATTCTGTTTTTACTATACCCGTACCAAACAAAGTATGCGTTATTGCGTGATGTATGAGAAAGCGCAGTCGCTCAGAAATTTGTCTTCTCTATAACTATGCTCGGATTTTTTTCAGCATAGAATCACTAACGAGGATATTGGCAGAACGTAATTAAGGTGCGTGTTTGAGCAAAATGCCGCGCTAGTCGTTATTTGTGAGGTTTTAAGGAACTATCTACTTCTTATAAAAAAGATATATCAACTAATGAAAAATCTATTAAATTTCTACATAATCTTGATTCCTTATTTGCCAATTCCATTTTTTTAAAAGGAGTAAATACTTGTTGAATCTTCCTACAACTAAACCACAGAAATGCGGAATAATTATTGACAATATGTATCTCCTCGTAAAGTAAGCATTATTTTGCGATTGACAATAATGAAAAGTGGGGACGAGTCTGATTATGGCAATGTTCATTCGTTCCCAATATTTCTGCAATAAATACAGAAATTGTTCAAATGTTGAACAAATGATAAACCACCACACGGAAGAGAATTCCTAAAAAGCTTATTCAAGGCATTTATAGCTCCACATCAAGCTGTAAGAAAAGTTAATATGCGCCTTCCAGTGATCCTTCCCAAAAGGATCAGTACCCACCTCGGAGAACCTCAGGACCTCTACACAAATAACCTTGTGCTGATGTCAAAAGATGTTATTGTGTTTCGTGAAAAAAGATCGCTAATTGAAATATATTTGTATTGTGTGTTCGAGTCACATTTGCATGGAACACAAAAACTTACTATGCGAAGGTTGTCACTTATCTGAGCAGATGAGTCTATTTTTCGTTAGCTTTAGAAAGAAAATACTTTCATTTAATTAAACATAATTTTAAAATATAAATGGCTGTACTTTTTATTTATTTACTACAAATATAATAAATATAATTGCCAAATATAACCAATCTTATATACCTAGAGCATCACTTTATGTAAATAAATATAACATTTTCGGGTTCGTCAGACCCATACGGTGTGATTTCTATCTACCAGGCGTACCAAGGTCAGCATTGCACGAACACGCTTTATAACTCTAGAACCATGAAATTGCAGGATTCAAAAAATGTATCCCGACAAAAACTACACAAAACCGTTTTGTTCAGTAACCTATAAATCTTTTAATAAAAAATTAGTAAAAATCGTTGTTTTTCTTTAATTAAAAAAATTGGTTTCGGCTAACCAGTAAGCCCATGTAACATTCTGGCTCCCATTTGGTTAACATCATGTCTGAGAAGAAATTAAGTTTAAATTCTATCAATAAGGATCGCTAAGGTTACCGTGAGGTTAGATACCATAGCCAAGCAATATTGTAATCAACATAATCATGTCACTATTCAGCGCTCTCAATATTGAAAGAAAAATACGCATTTCGTTATTTGTAATGCTGGATTTACTTTTAATGTCCTCAAAATATTGTATCATGAACATTCCATTAGAAAGAAACGGAACGCCTTACTCGGTGCCTTTCATTCATTTCAAGGTCACCAAATTAGGAATGTTTTTCTGGTATGAAGTACGCTATCCCTATATTTTTTTACCTCCTTGGTATAAGTTAAACATATTATAGTGATTGTTTTTGCAGTTATATAGAAAGTACTTTAGGCTCAGAAGAGCTAGAACCCAGAGCCATAAAGCCAGATAAATAAATTAAAATAGAAAGTACTCTGTTTAGTGTGGATTATATTCTCTTTGGTATAAGTCTATCTATGGTATAAGTCATAGATTACTGACTAAAGTTGTTCACATGGAGACCGCACCGAATACCTACTTGAAGCTTAACCTATGTATTACTATCTCACTCTCTGTGGGCAGACCCTCTCATTCTAAGTAAGTAACCTTTATTTTATTTTTCCCAGGATATCGCTTTAAGTAGTTGCATTACATTAAGTGGTTTATTTTAAATATCTACATCTCTGTTTACAACTAAGATCTAGCCTATATAGATAATATATTTTTGTACAATTTTTGGGAATTGACTGGTTTTATGAAGAAAGGTTTTCATTTCCATGGACAGAATCGGTATTTAAAATATGACCACGTATTTCCGTTACAACCCATATAATGCCGAGCCTATTTAGAAAATGTGGAAAATAAAAATATCAGAGATTATTTTATAACTACCATTTCAATAATGTAATTTTCTAGTTATTGTATCCAATCATAAACGGTACCAACGAAATATAAAATTAAAATTTATTATAACACCCCGGGTGTTCCATGAATTGGGCAAAATATACCTGATTTATTGTTCAGACAGACTAAATCTATTTTTGGACAATTATTTAAAAAAAAATATCACGAGTACTAAAAGAGCTTAGCGGAGCTCCTGCCTTAGACTTCTGACCTTACCCATCAGAGTCAGGCTGCTCTGAGCTGAAATGTGTATAATACTATATTCCACACATCCTGTTAATTTTAAGAATTATCTACAATTCCTAGGAATTCTATATAATGACGGTATTCATAGATATTTAGTAAAATATATACTATAATAGGAACGGTAATATATAAAAAACCTCAAAAAATAAATAAAAACATTTTCCATATTAAAATCATTTATTGAAAATTGTCTATTATACATGACTAAATACTATTGCTCTATGTAGTTTCTGTCTCTTACCGCGTAAATCACTAAGTATATTTTCTGTATGACTCTTTAAGTGAGCATGTATACGCATATTAAAAAATGAATTAGCTATTTTCTTAACTATCATAGTTTCATGCAAATTGTTACAATTAATTGAGTCCGTGATCGGGTGGTTAAACATTTCCTGCAACAGAGGAGTAAAATGTTGTGACACGACATTAATTAATTTGTTTTCAATGTTATTGGCTCTAAGATGGCCCATCAAATTAGCTCGTTGGAAAACTTGGTCACAATATTTTACAATTTTGTAAGCTGCTACCGAAGGAAAATAAAGTTTGCCTCGGTTCACAAATGTCGTAAATTAATTAAATTTATTTACAATCATATGATATGAATGATCTGTTGACACATAGTTAAGTGCCACTAATGCATTATTACAATGTTCACAAGAAATGCGGGTAAGAATTTGTTTTATAATGTAACCAGTTATATAATATAATATATTTTCCTGGTATGGAAAAGCATGAATCTTTTCTAAATTTTGAAACATATTTTCAACGTCTTGTTGATATTCAGGTTCTTCGCGAGAATGAAAAAAACTTTTCTGTTTATTGAAATCGAAGACGAGTGTTGTCACAATGCTATTTTCTATGCAGTTGGCATTGACGGATGGTTGAATGGAATGTCTGAACAACATCTTTCTAATTATGTAGCGGAACTCGAGAGGGCTCGGGTTATCTTGTGCCCGACCGCGAGCCCTAATGCAGGAAAAAAAAGTTCCAAGTTGTCCTGCGAACATTTAAAAGTCAACAAATATTTAATTGGATTTTGCTCTAGTGTACACAAATCATTAACAAGTAACGAGAAACTATTTATGTTCATTAAAAACCCTAATATAAACGTTTTTCTGGGATGATTTAAAATACCTTTACCATTTATTGTTAACGATTTTAAAAACATTCCAGTATCATTAAATATTGGTTCCCAATAACGTTTGTTTTTTAACGATAATGGAGACTTTGAACCCTTTCCAAATGGTGACTTTGAATTCATGAGATCAAAAAGTCTATCTATCATGTGCAAGAACTCTGTAGTCGCTTCGCTGTTTAGAAAGTCAGGATGACCACTAATCCTCAAAAAATCTATTGCATCAGCAACAGATGAACTAAGTACATGCGCAGCAAGCCTAATATTCATTTTTTGGTTTTTAAAATCTACATGTAAAGCGCTTAATTTATTAGCAAATTTTAACGCCTCCTTGCTTTGTATTTCGTGTAATTTTCGGATATATTTAAACGAAATATAGCCGGTATTTGACTTCATTTCAAAATCGACCAAAACATTTCTAGCGAGTTTTAACATATGTGCAGCGTCAAGCAGACAATATATATTGCTCTTCCCGTTTGGATGTCGAAAGTACGGTCTTAAATTGTTTTGTTCGAGAGAGCAGCCTTAATATTCATAAGCCTTTACATTGGATGCTGCACCATCACAAGTCAAAGATCTTACGGTGACACCAATTTCGTCAAGTAGAATTACAGTGGTTTTTATTAATTCGGAAAGCAGTTCCCCAGACAAGTTATTTGCAATAAAAAAATATGCAATTGGACACTTAAAACGTATACCGTAAGACACTATTTGAAACACGAGGGCTACGGAAGCTAATTTTTCTGGATCACTTACAGGAATTGGTCCTAAATCTACATACCCAACCACTTTGTCTAATTTTTGATCATATGCCAAATTTTGTTTTAATGCCATTCCATCAAATATTAAAGCAATATTTTTTAAATTTTTTAAAAATTCTAGTACTTCAGAGAGGAAACCAACATTACAGTTAAATAAAGATAAAGATCTTCGTATAGTTTCTACATGAGATAAAGTTATATATTTTCTTAAGAACTCGTAAGCCTTAGGTGAATAGAAATTCAAAGTTAAAGCAAAAGCTTTCACTTCTTCACTATATCGAACAACATGTGGATTACTCTGTGGCTTTTTGAAATCCTTACAGATATCAGCAAAGCGCCCTTGAATAATAATTTCAATTCCTGACTGACCTGTATACTCTTTAATAGTTGCAATTAAAGAAGACATATCCTGAATTTTTTTAGTTTGGCGCGCCACTTTTTGCTTAAGATATCTTAGTTTTCTTCTCAAGTATTATTTTTTTTCGCCCTTTCGCCCCTATCTATCTTCGCGGGATCGTCGTCTTCACTGCTGACCTAAGAAAACAACAAAACTTTGTGAAATCGGTAATTTTAGCATCGTATTGCTCCGCTCATAAGGGTCGTAGCGTGATGTTAGATAATCTTCCTAAATAATTGGTTTTAAAAATGCAAAAAATATTTTCAAATCTGACTGGTATAGTTCCGGAAATTAGAGAACTCAAACAAACAAAAAAAGAATCAAATAGCTCTTCTACATCATAATGTCAGTACAAATTTACATCACGTAATAGGTTATTAGACCATTAGTAGACAGAAAGAATACTCCGGAGCGCGCCTTCATGAGCCGCATAAATGAAGCATCAAACAAGAAGCTTCATGCTTAGTAGTGACGGTTACCACACTGCGATTGGCACTAAAGAGTTTAAATATGTATGTGTTTTAAGCATATAATATATTATGTAATGTAATATTAAAGATAATAAATACAAATAAAAGGTATGTATTTAGTAATAAAGGAAAAGGAAACTTACAGGTAACTTGTTAAGATTGCATAAATTTTCAAGAATTTTTCGACATTGTTTTTTACTAAATAGTTTGGTCTTCAATATTACAGGCAGTACATTTCACTTCTGTTTCCTTAAGTGCAGAACTACTTTCATAAATGTCAGAACTAGTGCTTGGTACAGCCAGAGCAGCTATTTGCATAATAGACTCTTCATGTAATGTACTTGTTGTCTGCAAATGATAACATATTTTACAAAATGTTGCTTTATATCATACATTTAAACTACTACATTTCTAAATATATAATATATTACGAAAAATTTGATAATTAAATTATATTAAATTTTTACCTTGCCCGGTGATACTGTTTCTTGATTTATTATAACAGTAGGAACTGCTGTTGGTTTTAAGCTCCTTGTTGTTGAATCATAATCTGATTCTTGAAAATGCAAATTGCAAATCCTTGCACATTCATAATACTTCATTTTCAATGGTACAATGGATAACCACAAATTTCTCCGAGTACAGTTTTTAGGAAATCTAAAAAAAATATTCGTAATTATTGTAAACGTTACTAAAGTATCAGAATAATGAGAAACAAAAACTAAATAAAAAGTAAATTGTCTGCCTAAAAAAACTAAATAAAAAGAATATATTATTATGTTACTAATTAACAATTTAATATTATGAAATCTATGAAATCCGTTATTATATAGAATAAATAGGAATTGTATATAATTCCTAAATTTCATGCATTTCCGGTAACATAATAAGAAACATGTACATATAATTAGTTAAGGACACAGAAAGTCTCAGATACATCCTTAATATGGTCACACTACTTCAGTGCGATTTCTTTTAAACAAAAACAATAAAATTATTCACTCAATTAAATTCAATGTAAAACTATTTGATTTTGATAAAGTTATGATTTACTAATATGTTTAAAACACTGGTAAAACGTTTCAGCAAAAAATTAAGTGAAAATACAAAGAAGTATGTTTACAAGTATTCAATGCCAGAAGTCACTATTTAAACACTTACGCATGAAATCTTATATCACCTCCTGTACACCAACTACTGCCGCAACCACGCACTACACAAGTTTGCACCATTTCTTGAATTATAACAATAATTAACTTTAAATATCTCAAACAACGCTGTGAACTGCTAAGTAAACAACCGCCATATTTGTCTAGTTTATGTTGACATATAGGGCTAATGTTGCCACATTACCGGACCCTTAGGAAATGGGATTGTAATTCACTTATTCGTTAACCCAAAAATTCATACGAGACCTTCAATTTTGGAATTTTTAGTGTAACTAATCGTAGTTCAACTATTTATTTATTGGTACATTATTTTATAGAGCTTAACTTAGGATTTGGTTAGTGTGGAAACTATTTCTAAGAATTTACCAGGAGATATAAATAAAAACATAGCAATACTGCATTCCACACTAAAAAGAGAAGTCAGACCACAGAGAGTGAGATAAAGATACGTAGGTATTTGACTCAAGCTGTTGTTCCAAGTGTGGCCTCAATGTTGTTCAAAACGACTATAAATCAATAGCACGCTCGTAGACAGAGAAACCTATAGACAAATTGACGCCTTCTTTCGCATTCGCACACGAAAAAGATAGATTTATGCATACGTCTTGCATAGAAATGAGATAGAGCGGTGTGATTGTTTGTCCCATTCTCCGGGCCGGTTTTTTTGTTTAGCAAACTCTACAGTTTGCTAAACAACTTCAACAGTGTAGCGATTTAAGGAGTTTACAAGTTGGTTTAAGTGAGAAAAAAGTGTTTTGTGAGCTTAAGATCGGTGAATGTTGGTCAGTTCCGTTCTTAGAACAGTTAATTTTTTTATCTAAATGTGTTTAAAACTCATTAAGATTATTGTATAACCTAAAAATTCGTTATCGTCCTTTCTCACTCGTGGCCACGCCGATCATTAGTCTATAGGTTTCTCTGTCTACGAGCACGCTACTGACTATAAACTAGAAATTTAAAACAACATTTACAGACTATAAAATTTAAAACTAGAATTTAGCGCGCTATTAAATACGCTATGTTATAGCGCGCTATTTATAAAAAAGTGTGTAGGAGGCCGGCAAGCGCGTAAGTTTAGCAGCACGCTATGCATTACATGTCGTTCATTGCATAGATCGCGTGCTATATAAGAACATTGTTTCATAATAAGTCGCATTTTAGATTAAAATAAAATAAAGTGGTAAAGAAAAATTAAAGAACGCTCTTTCATACTTTTCAGACTTTTTTATAATCCTAAAAATATTTTTAAGCACTGTACTTTTTAAAACAGAATAAAATTAATCATTTTTTATTATAATTGATGTAAACGTTATTTTAACCTTATTATAAATTATAAATCAAATGTGTATTTAAAAGTTTAGTTTATTAATTGTATATACAAAAATCAACTATTCACAAACACTATTATATACACTTTTGTATCTATATTTTATTTAAATTTAAAAACATTAGTGAGGCTTCTTTTGTAGCAGACAACTGTGTCATTCGATCACTTATAAATATACAGTATACACTAACTAAATAACGTCTAACACTAAATTAGTTCGCGCGCGATGAATAGCGTGCTGCTAGATTAAATTTGCGTCACACGTCTACTCTCAACAGCGCTGCTGCTAGAACTAATTGCCGCTAGTGATGTAAGCCGGTTTTAAGAAAACCTGATAAAAACCGGTTTTTGATAAAACCGGTATATACCGGTTCTAGTTAAATAACCGATTTATTTTGCATGATGGCAGCCGTATAACTTTACAACCGTAGACAGAGAAACCTATAGACAAATTGACGCCTTCTTTCGCATTCGCACACGAAAAAGATAGATTTATGCATACGTCTTGCATAGAAATGAGACAAAGCGGTGTGATTGTTTGTCCTTTTCTCCGTGCCGGTTTTTTTATTTAGTAAACTACACTTTGCTAAACAACTTTGACAGTTCGTAGCGATCTAAGGAGTTTACAAGTTGGTTTAAGCGAGAAAAAAGTGTTTTGTGAGCTTAAGATTGGTGAATCTTGTTCAGTTCAGTTCTTAGAACAGTTAAAATTTTTATCTGAATATGTTTAAAATTCATAAAAATTATTGTATAACCTAAAACTACGTTATTGCCTATTCTCACTCGAGGCCACGCTAATCATTAGTCTATAGGTTTTTCTGTCTACGTTTACAACGTATATCTGAATCCTTATGAATAGCAGTGGTTGGGGATAGGGAAGGTGCGTATTTACGCGACCAGGTTTTTATACCAGATATTTACTTGCAAGTACGCCGACCAAGTGCCGACCCAAAATACTTGCAAGACTTCAAAGTATTCGAATATTCTCGCTTTGTCGACACTACGCGATTCTGCTCCTTATTTATCTTTAGTTACGGATCAATGTTCTATCAAGGTATTTTTACTTTAAAGGATTGGAAGTATTTTTTTTGTAAAAATTGTGCTCTTTATTTGTATATAGTATTCTAGATGCAAGTATTTTTCTTACAACAAGTCTTGAAAGTTGGAACTTTCAAAGGTTTGGAAGAAGTTCTTTTTGTAAACGCGGTTGTGCTCTTTATTTGTAAATGGCTACAGATCAATATTCTATGCAAGTATTTTTCTTACAAGTCTTTAAAGTTGGAACTTTTAAAGGTTTGGAAGTATTTATTTTGTAAACGCGAATGTATTCGTTATTTGTATATAGTAACAGATCAATATTCTATGCAAGTATTTTTGTTCCATCAAGGCTTGAAAGTTTACTATTTTAGCATATTTATGCGATTGCACTACTTATTTATATATTCTTATGGATCAATTTTCGATGCAGAAATAAAATACTTGGAAGTATCTCAAACCCTGGTTTTTGGCGCTGGTATTTGAAGGTGGACGTACTTGCAAGCCCTGGTACTCGATTTTGTAAGTAAGACCCATCTCTAGTTGGGGAATCCTGAAATGTCGCCCGATAGCAATGGAGGATTTACCGATCAGAGACAATTGTACAATTCTGCAATTTTCTTTGCAAAGCATAGCGATAGTCCGAGTGAGTTAAAGTTTGTGCTGTATTTAATT